CGGAAAATAGTTGCGGTCAAAGCCAAAATAGTTGCGGTCAACGTCTTCCCGATACAGGGCACGAAAGAGTAGGGTCTTAAGAACACTAGGACGTCGAGGGAGGCCGTTGGCCGCGATTAGATCGGGCGCAGTGGCCCAAAATCAGCGAAAACGGCTACTTTCGTCGTAGGACTCTTTGACCAACTTTGTGACGTTACTGGTCCCAAACCCGAAAGGCCCCGGCAGATTTTGCTGCCTGTCTGCCCTGGCCAGTCCGAGCCTGCCGGGATTTCGACCGCCTCCACCCTGCTGGTCCACTGTGCCCCGAAGCCCGGCGCAGCCGCGATCAGCTGAGCGAAAGCCTCGCCGCTTGGAGGGCACTCCGACTCTGAGACCGTTGCGCACCAAAAAAATTATCGAGTCGGCGGCATTGGAATGCGCTGCCCAGCGAGTCTCGATGGAAACCCCTTTAGCACTCCCCACAAAAAGGGTGACTGACCCCTTGACACCCCCCCCCTCAAATTTCAACAAGGCGAGCAATGATGGCGCCTCCGTCTCAGCGCGACCGTGCAAATGGCCATTTCAGCGGCGCTAAAATAAAATTAGCAGCATGGCGGGGAGGCGCGTACCTTGACACGCTGGTGCTCACCTCGTTCCTCTCGGCCGAGTGAAAGGTCATCACACCGACGGCGGGGCGCGTTGTTTTCCGTTCGCCTTTTCGTCGGCGGAAACCAGGTGGTGCTAAAGCAGAACGACCTCCGCCGCTGGTGCATCTAATCACTGCTTTAAAAGTTGATCAACATAAAACACAAAGTTGGAAAAAGAGAGAGAGAGTCAAGTTTATCGATAAATTGGAGAGTGAGAGCGACAGACAAAGCCGGGGCAGGGGCCGGGGTGCAGTGCTGTTTCTTCCAGCCTCTTGCAAGGCTCGGCTGGAGTGTTTGGAGGAAAAGTAAAGTTCTCAAGTAAAATCCCTCTAGTCTCCCGCACCCTACCCCCTTCCCCTTCTCCCTGGAAACGACGTGACCCTCCACACCGCGCCACGCCGCGCCACGCCGCGCCACGCCACGCCTCTGGGGCCTGCTGCCCGGAGCACAGCCGAGAGCGTCTATTCAATAAAACAGAACTCTCTTTCGCCTCTTTTCACCATCCAGCTGGCCGTCGCCCCCTTCCCCGCCCCTTCCCCGCGCCCTCGCGTTCATCACAGCCCCCACGGTCACCACCCCCACCGCCCCCACCGCCCCCGCCACCCCCTGCACGCCGACCGCGCCTTGTCCCGTCGGTCCAAACTCGCCTTTAAAATATGCAGATCTCCCAAAAGCCGAATTCCACGGCCCGACGTCCGTCCTTGTCGACCACGTGGCCTGCCCCCCACCCCTACCCCCGGCACGCACGCAGCCCGACGACGAGATTCGCGACAGAAAAAGCTCACTCTAGTCCGAGGACGGTTAATCAAGTTTTTGTTTTTCTTTTCTCGTCGAGTCTCGCGCGCGCCAGCCGAACGCTCCTCGGAACACGCGCGCGTGAATGCAGATGGCGCCAGCGTCGCGCTCTGCCGCTAGGAGCGTGAGTGTTGCGAATTTGCCGAGAGAGAGAGAGGGAGCGAGACAGAGGGAAAAGGGGAGGGGGAGAGGCATAGGGATTCGATTGGTGAGTGATTACTCATCAAATTAAGGAAGCTCTCTGTGAGCTCTCAAGCGTTGATTGCACCGTGCTCTAATGGCAAGCATGGGGCGACACACAGGCCGGGCGGGGCGGGGAGATGAGAGGGATGGATGATAGAGCGTGATGATTGTGGGAATCTACCCGAGGGTCGGGAGCGCAGTGGAACGCAGCAGGCAGATTCCGTCTCTCTGTCTCGCTGTCGCCCTCGTGGCGCCCATGACGTGTAGGGGTGCGAGAGAGTGAGAGCGAAGGCGCGACATCACACTGTACTGCGCCAACGCGCTCAGCGCAACGCCCATGAACGGGCGACCGCCAGCCAGCCAGCCAGCCAGCCAGCCAGCCAGCCACTGGCACGACGACGTGCCCTCCGCGTGGCGCGGCTCCACTGCTGCCAACCACCAACCTGGTTTTCGGGGAAAATAAAGTGAAAGCAACGCCATCATTCGGAGAAATCTCCACTTCCTCAACTTGCTGTTGTTCGTTGCTCGTTGTTCGATCTGATCCCGTTGAATTCAAAACGATAACGATTGTATTCTTACCGTAACCTCGCAGCATCATGATTTTTTAGCAGATGATACCTTAACACTTGAAACATACTTAAAACTACTATACACAAATGAAGGTGTCAGCGTGCTTTTACTCTCGAGTCCAGAAACCAAGCGCGTATCCCAACAATATAATAGGGGCTGGCGGCCGGGGCGGGCTGGTGTGTCTGGCCGGCTGGCGGTGAGGCGCAGCCTGCGCGGAATTCGACAATCCCTCCGCGGTACAGCGCCAGCGGCACCGGGCGTAAACAATGGCACCCTCTCCTCGCATTGACAATCCCTCCCCGCCTGCCACGCGCAACAATGCCTCCCGATTCGGACCGGCCGGGGGCGCTCGGGCTCGGCGGCGGGCGGTGCAAGCCACAGCTCGGCGCGGCCAGTACCAAAGTACCTTCACCGGCCAGCTCGCTCGGGTGTATGTATTTTGTTTCATACACAATTTTAAATACTATCTTTGGAATGAGCCCGCATACTACCCCGTATAAGAAAACCAAACGAGTATCATCTGCTTTCATTAACGTTCGTTGAATGAGATTTTTTAAATTATTTTTTTCGTGTCCCTACTCAGCCGCGTCCCGTTCGGCGGTTTGGCGCGAGACAGGAATTCACGCGGAAAATCCCCGCGCGACCGAGAGCGAGAGACAGAGAATGAGAGAGACAGAGAGCGAGGCGGACCGAGTGACTTTTCCTGGCGGCGACATTTATCCCGAGAATTGAAATAGAGAACCACGCGCGGTGTGGCGGGGCGGGGCGGGGCGGGGCGGGGCGCGGCGTGTTGTGCACCTCGTGGGCCCCCCTCAAGTATCGCGTGGTGGGCGGGGGAGGGCGCGCGCGCGCGGGCGGAAGACCAAGTATTTTTAATTCAGCAGCTGTCCCTTTCTGTGCGCCGTGGTCGCCGTGTCGTCGTCGGTGTGCTCTGAGGCTGGCGGGGCGGCCACTACGCCGGCTACGCCGCCGAGGCCGCGAAGCACCAAGTAACAGCGACGCGCGGAGATCGCTCTTGATACTGCGGGAATGAAGAGGGGAGAGGCGTCCAGAGCCTCCAGAGCCTGCAGCCGCGCGCCGCGCGCCCGCGCAGTCGAGCGTAGGCAACCCGCTGGCCCGGCGGGACCCGGTGGGAACTTGAAGCAGTGTAGGATTTGGATTCCGCGACTGCCCACCATTGCAGCATTGCATCACGACGTTGATCCCCGTCCCGTTATAGCGGAGAGATTCCTGCTACATAATTCCTGTTCCGCGAACGATCTGCGGTTCGCGCTCGGCCCATCCCTCTGCTTTTTGTTGCGATGCGATTCGTCATTGATTGATCGTTTTTCTCCACACGTGTGGGCCGTACACTCCCTCTCTCTCTTCACACACACACACACTCCCTCTCTCTCTCTTCACACACACACACTCTCTCACACACACACACACACACTCTCTCACTCACACACACACACTCTCTCACTCACTCACACACACACACACTCACTCACTCACTCACACACACACACACTCACTCTCTCTCTCTCTCTCTCTCTCTCTCTCTCTCTCTCACACACACACACACACACACACACACACGGCGGTGGGCCGGGCGTGGCCGCGTCAGGATGGACAGGCAGGGGGAGATATTGCGGGCCTGATGAGGTCATCGGGGCACGCACGGCGCACGGCGCACGCACACAAGGCCGGAGGCCTAGAGGAGGGAGGCAGGAGCGAGCTGCCTCCCATTTTATTTGGGGGCGTGGGCCGGACGGAGCGACGGCGGTGTGATAGCAGACCGGCTGCTCCCCCCGGGGGCTGGGGCAGGGCTGGGCTGGGCGGGCTCGCGTGCCGGCGCCGAGCCGGCACCCCGGATAGTAACTGATTGGCCCAGGAGTGGAAGGGGGGGGGGGGGGCGTCGAGGCGGCGAGCGAGGGAATGCACAGGTGGATGTATTGTCGGGGCCCTCGCCTCGATGCGGCGGCGTGGCGGCGCGGCATGCTATTTCAGGCCGGTATCTATCCTGGGCGAGGGCCTTGAAGGGCTGCAGGGCGCCACGCGGGGCGCCACGCGGGGCGAAGGGCTCGCACCTTGAGTGATAACACTGCCCTTAATGACGGCGGGGCCCCGCCAATCTGACCTCATCTCGGGAAGGGCCGGCAGGGGCGGCCGAGGCGCCCGGATTGAGGGGGAGACATTCTGGAGGGAAAAAAGGGCTAGAGTGGATTTAGGGACGACGTCTCCCCGCCGTGCCGGCCGCGCCGGCCGCGCCACTGCTGATAGGGTTTGCTCCGGCCGAGGACAAGATGGCGACCAGGACGGCCGAGGGGCCGAAGGGTGCGCCTTATGGGCCCTCAGCACGTGTGCCTGGCTGGCTGCCTGGCTGCCTGGCTGCCGGGGGTCAGGGAGCTAATTAATTAAAGATGACTTGGTTTCCGTCCCCGTCCGGACTTCCTCGCGCTATCCGCCACGCGAGGATGACGTGATTTGAAGCCCAATCTGGAGAGGGCGGCGAGGAGGGGACGATATAGGGCAGGGCGCACATGCGCGCGCAGGCTCGCGAAATCAAGGATAGAAATGGACTATTCCGAGGAAAGGGACATTGCTACCCGCATTGTTTATGGCATTTGTTCGCGAAGTGTGTCTTGACGGACCCCTGTCTTGTTGTGCTTGCAGGCTCGCGGCGCGCGCTGAGCGCGGACTGGAGCGCGGGGCGCGCGGCGAGGCGGTGCGCGGCGAGGAGGTGCGCGGTGCGTGGCGTCGCGGGGCGGCGTTGTGCGACTCGCGTCGCACCACTTGATCGCGCGGCGTGGCACCAGCGGCAGAAGCGGCGCCAGCGGCAGCATGGGCTGCGAGCTGGGCAAGCTGGCCGCCTCCGAGAGGGGCGGCGGCAGGGGCGGTGACGGCGGCGGGGGCGGCGGCAAGGACGACCTGCCCGCGCCCCCCGCCACGGATCCGCGGCTACCGCTCACCGCCAAGCAGAAGTACACCATGGTCGCCTCGTGGAAAGGGATCAACCGCGAGATGGAGGCGACGGGGGTCAACATGTTTATCAAGTGAGTACGAGCTTTTGTTTCACGGATGGTTTGTACAGTGCTAACGGCGCCAACGCCGCGCTCCCCGAGGCCTGCCGGGCCGCGCCGGTCCGGGGCGTTTCCGCGCCAAGTTCCAGCGGAGCAGGATTAGAGCCAAAGAAACAAATGCAGGGGAGGGGCGCCGCAGGGCGCAGCGATGGAGCAGCGAGGCCCGCGGCGCGTTGGCGGGGCTGCCGCGGAGGCCGTGCTGGCCGTGCTGGTGTTGGGGCTGGAGCCAACGACGCAGGGAGCCCAGCCAGGCAGCCGCACCGGCCAACTTTCTCACTTTCATCTTCCTGGTCGCCGTGCCGTCCCCGCCGCGCCCCGCCGCGCCCCGCCGCGCCCCGCCACGCCCGAACTCCTCCGGGAACTCGGTGCGCCGTCGCCCTGGCCTGGCGGCCGGGCGGCCGTGGCCAACGTCGCCCTTACCCCATCGGAAAGCTGGAAAAAGGGCGAGCGAGGCAGGGCGAGGCGAGGCGGGGCGAAGAGGGGCGAGGCGCGAAGCACCACGGCGTCGAGCCCAGTCGAGGTCAGAGAGCTGTAAAGATATCACAAACAAAAAGCAGGCAGATCCTCGGCCCTCGGCCAGGGCACTTTGTTGTCGGGCTGCCGCTGCTGCCGCGGTGCTGCGCGAAAAAGCCGCCCTTCCCTCCACGCCGCCCTCCCCTTCCACACAAATTCCACTCGACTCCACCCCGGCCACCTTCTTATACTCCGTAAACTCGGGAACACTTGGCGGCGCTTCGCGGGTGGCGGCCCGCGGCCCGCGGCCCGGACTGGGCTGTCTCGGCCGCGCCGCGCCTCGTGCCTCCCCCTCCCCTTCCGACGCCATTGTCTGCGAACCTTCCGAACAACGGGCGGGCCAGAGCCTCCTTCCGGAGCGGCCCGGGTCCAGGGAGATGAGAAAGGTCGGCTGGGGGAGTCGCAACAAGCACGTGTATACCTCAACGGTACCGTGGGGCTATGCCGGGCTGTGCGCACGTGTGAGAGTGCGTGTGTGTGGGTGTGTCTTTTTATGTCGGTGTCTGTATGTGTGTCTGGAGTGTGTTCTGTTCTGCGCTTGTGTGAGTGCATGTGTGCGTGCATGGGGGTTGCCGTGGTGTGCAAAAGGATGTGGTGGCACAAGAGAGAGCAAAAGGAAAAGCAACAAAGACACGGCGGGGCGAGAGCGAGCGAGAACGGCGTGCTCAAGTAGACTGCTGCAGGCAGGGCCGTGCGGCCTGCCTGCCTGCCTGCCTGCCTGCCTGCCTGCCTGCCCGGCTGCCTGGGCGAGGTTGCAGCACCGAGGCTGTGCCGGGGCGGGCCCTTGTTGACCCCGTTGTGGGACCCCAGGGTGGAGGCCGGTTTATTTGCTTTAACATTTTCTTCTCTATTCAATAATTGCCGAACACATTTTAACACAAAAATGTATTCAAAGTAAAATTGAAAGCCAGTCTCTCTACTGGACCAGTCAATGAGGAGATCCGTAACGAATCGATCGCCCGACCCGAGTGTCGAGGACCGATGCCTCTTCCCTGGGCCACCCCGGCCGGCACAGCGAGGCGCTGCCTGCAGCCTGACCCTTGCGGCGTCAACGAGTCAAATAAAATTTTGGAGCGCTGTTGTGCCGCGCTCCGGGCGGCATTGGGTGTTTCTGACTCGGCCGCCGACGCCGCGCGCATTGCCGGCCGCAAAGTTTGAAAGCCGCGGCGGGAGAGGCACCGGAAGGGACGCGACGGACGCCAAGACGGACGCCCCCGGGGCAGCGCCAAGGCAGCGCCGCCACGCCACCCTCGCGGGGGCCCTGAAAGCCACTCCAACTTGTCAGTAAGTGACTGCAGCATAGTGGCGATGATACTTGTTGCTTCCGAGTGGCGAGGCGAGGCGAGGCTTGAGGCGTCCGCAGTCCCGCAGCCCCACAGCCCAGCCCGGCACGCGTCGCCCTACACCGCCACTGCTCGGCCCTGCCCGTGCGGAAGACGTCCCTTGACGGCGGCGTCCAGTTAGCGCCTGTTAGGCCCTCGGCTGTGGGGGGTGCGGGGGCGCCGGGGCCGCGGCGTGACTCCGGTGCAGTCAGCCTCGGCATGCGAGCCGAGGTGCCGGGGCCCGGGACGGCCTGCGTGGCGTGGTGGCGCCGGGGGCAGTGGGCCTGGATGTAAGGGAGGGGCAGGCAGGGCTGGCAGGCAGGGCCAGAGAGAGAGAGAGAGAGAGAGAGAGAGAGACAGACAGAGAGGGAGAGAGAGGAAGAGAGGAAGAGAGCGAGAGAGAGAGCGAGAGGCTCAGCTCCACAGCCTGAATCGACCGCTCCCTTGCCCCTCGCCCCTCCCTCTCCCTCGCCGCCCCGTAGCAAACTGATGGCACGCCGCTACCGTCGCCGCCGCTGCCACTGCTAAGCTCTTCCTCCCCGCCCCTGCCCCTCCCCCGCCGCCCCGCCGCCCCGCCGCCCCGCCGCCCCGCCGCCCCGCCGCCCCGCCGCCCCGCCCTCTGCCCCTGCAGCCCCAGCATCAACACACTCTCGCCCAAGACTGATCCCCTCGTCGCGTCCCCCTCGTGCAGGTACCTGCCAGATAACCCCGTCCGCACCGTGTTGGCCGTGTTCACGCCCCCAACGGCCCCCAAGGCCAAGGCGGCGGCCTTGCGCGAAAAGCCGACCTGACACGGAGCCGTGGGTTCGAATACCGCCAGTGCGACAACTTTTTCTGTCGCCCCTTCTCAACGCACGGTCGCGAAATGTCACTCAACGCCAGTAATGGGCGCGGCAATGTGCGCCTCCCAACTTTTATTCTCTTTTTATCGTGCACATTTCTTTCCCGCGAGGCAAAAAGGGCAAGAAACAAAAAACCAGTGGGGTGGGGGAAGGGTCTGTTAAGACCGCAAGCGTGCGCGGCTTTCGCGACGTTAGTCCGGCGGTGTGGCGGCAGCGGGCGGCAGCGAGAGGAGGGAGGGAGAGACTTTTTGTACGCTGTGCTGACGTGGCGCTTGTGTGAGTGTGAGCGAGTGTGTGTGGTGGTGCTGCTGTGGGGTGGGCTATTGCCTTGGTACGGAACCACGCGCGGTTACCCCCTCCCCCTCCCACAGGCACAGGCGCCCCGGCCTATGATTGAAATGTTACACGCCTGCGTGCGTCTCCGCTCGCGCGTGCACGGCTACATCCAGCGAAGCAAAGTCTTGGCTACTTTTGGCCGTTTCGGCCGGCCAGTGCACTGCCCGGCACTGCCAGTGCGCTCCAAGCAGCTCAGTCAAAATTTTTCCCTTTCCCTTCCCTCTCCTGACCACTCATAGTCGTTAGTGACCTTTAACAAAAAAAAACGTTAACGCTAACGCTAACGTGAAAGCAGATGATACTTATGAGAATGTTTATTGAAATGTATGAATGTGACATTTTGTCAATTTCTTTCAAAGAGTAAACACTCGGAACTCTTTTTTTCACAAATTTCTAACACATGATAATTCATGAAAATGTCAATTTTAGTATAACTTTTGAATATCCCAACGTGCCATTGTTTTGTGTTAAACATTTTCGCAATGACGGTGGGACACTCATATGTCCGATACCACTTGTGTTGGGTATCATTTTCGTTGTTTCAACGTGAGGATGCACAATTTGGTGGCTAATCACATAAATACTCAATACCCGTAAAAGTTGTGTTCGGTACTAGGGCAAGGCGCCTTGCGGCACGCGGCGTGTCAGCCACATCTCCAAGCGGGGCCGGCCGGCCGGCGCGCCAACCGAACCCGACCTCAAGATAGATAAGCAAGAGTGGCGCACACCGCCGACTGCCGACGCGCCGCTTCTCGAGAGGAGCAGGGGTTCGGGGGGGCGCTGCACTATGCGTTCTACGCACTCAAGGCTCAAGTGCGAGTGTGTGTAGACTGCTGCGGGGTGTGGCGGGGCGCGGCGGGACGTGGCGTCTCGGCTAGGGAATGGGCGAGGGGGGCAGCTACGCGATGCGTGCTAGCAGCGTCTCGTAACGACGCGCTACGCGAGGGACGCACTTCATGAGTAATAGAGAGCTGGGTGTCGAGGTTATACGCCGCGCGCGCAACCCGAGCCCCCGCAGGCGCCCCGATCCATGTGCGGCGCGCGGCGCGGCGCGGCGCGGCGCGGCGCGACGGCGCGGCACGCTGCGGGCCCTCCGCTCATAATCTTCTAGGCAGGCCAGCCAGCCGCTGCCTTGCCAGCGAGGCGCTCGGCCTCTTCTAGGCTTGCTAGTCAGGCAACGAGGCAACTGCTGCCTGGCTAGCCGGAAACTCGGTACTCTCTGCACGAGAGTACAAGCACGCTGATACGTGAACGTATCATCTGCTAAAAAACGTTAACGCTAACGCTAACGTGAAAGCAGATGATACTAATGAGAATGTTTACTTAAATGTGTGATGTTTTTATCTCCACTATTAGTAGAAAAATTTGACGATGATGAGTGACATTTTGTGAATTAATTTGAAAGAGTAAACACTCGGAACTGTTCATTTGACAAATTTCTTACGCATAATAATTCACGAAAATGTAAATATTATTTTAACTTTTGGATGTCCTAACGTGCCATTGTTTTGTGTTAAACATGTTCGCAATGTCGGTGGGACACTCATATGTCGGATACCACTTGTGTTGGGTATTTTCGTTGTTTCAAAGCGAGGATGCACAATTTGGTGGCTAATCACATGAATACTCAACACCCGTAAAAGTTGTTTTCGGTACTAGGGCGGGATGCCTCGCCGGACGCAGCGTGCCAGCCTCATCTCCAAGCAGGGCCGGCCGGCCGCGGCCTGCGACACCCGAACCCGAGACGCTCAAGATAAGCATGAGTGGCGTGCACTGCCGACTGCCGGCGCGCCGCTTCTCGAGAGGGGCAGGGGTTCGGGGGGGCGCTGCACTATGCGTTCTACGCACTCAAGGTTCAAGTGGGTGTGTGTGTGTTTGGACTGTTGCGGGGTGTGGCGGGGCGCGGTGGACGTGGCGTCTCGGCAGAGGAAGGGGCGCGGGGGGCTGCTGCGCGATGCGT